TTCACGCCGGGAAAAGTGAAAATACTGGTACGGGAAAAGAGAAAATACTGGTAGAAGAACTATTTCAATATTAGATAATATTCGCGAGGAGTTATTCTATTCTCAACAATAACAATTCACTGTAAGGAAATTTATCACGGCGAAGACGTCATTCTATATAAAAATTGCATCCGTTAAAAACAATTGGTAGTTATGGATTTTTATTATTCCCGGAAAAAAACTAAAAAATTTAATTTATTGTTACCAGTTTTTACTCCGGTGCGCTGCCAAGATGACACAATCTAGCGTGACCCACCGGTGGGTCACCCCGGCGTGAACGTGTTAAAGACTCCTTTTGCATCCTTGTGTTCTTTCGTGGACAGAATTTTCCAGTATACCTAATAACATCTTCCGTCTATTGTTCATGTAAAATAATCTTACCGAAATGTATTATAATCATGTTCAAATGGTTACTTTGACTTGAGCAACATACGATAAAAGTATGTACTATTTACTTCTGTCTAAGCAATGTGTATTCTTTGCAGACTCCGACGCTTAGCCAAACCATCAACCCAAATGCTATAAACTCACCGTGTGAAACATCCTGCTTGAAAGACCTTAGGTTCAACTACCCATTCAATGAACTATTGCTGTGGGCAGTTCTGACCAACAGACAGAAAATGGCACTTTTCATGTGGCAAAATGGCGAAGAGGCAATTGTTAAGGTACCGTACAAATCAATGAACAAAAAATAAGATACAAAAAATGTCTCTTTCTAATTAGCTATTTTTGTTTCAATTGAAGAGTTCGCCTTTATAAGTAGTCAACTTTACTACAATTGTTGCTTTTTCGAATCAAAGATAATAATATTTTTTAATTATTTTTTTACCATATCGTCCGATCATTATTCGAACACTCTGGTTACATAAATACCCTTTATGTTGTATGGTTTATTTTTCATAACTTTTATGTTGTATGAAATATTTTTTCATAGCAAATGTTATAGTAATTGGTAAAAAATGTTCGATAAATACTATTACACCAACTTCTTTAATTTTGAAATGGTAATAGGAAGCTATTACATAAATGCTAAGTGGTTACATGATACAATAAAGGTTAACCCGTTTTGTACCGACTTTATATATTGAAATGATACAATAAGTGGTTTTATGGAAAAGGTGGTATAATATATTATCGAAATTAATTGGTTTTTCTACTGTTAGGGCATTTAAAAAGTCTTTGATAGATCAAAAAGTACGTGTTCCTTATAATTCTAGATCTAGTCTGAAATAACTAAATCATTGTGGTATCTGAGAATCTTTTAATTCACCCAGATAAATTAAAATTCTGAAAAAAGTTTCCCATCACAATGAATGTCTTTGAAAAAAGGAAATGCCCTAAATATATGACGCTGGGCGTTAACCGGTTAATTTGGGTTCGAGAAGAGACTGTGACCAACACCTCCCAGAAGCGTGAAGGACCCCGCAGTGGTAGCTATAAACAAAAATCCGATAATTTTGCTGCCCGAAAGCTATATCTTTTTCCAAAACTCCCCACTGCGCAGTTTATGTTCGTTACGCTGGACTATTGTATTGATCCATAAGGAGGACTTTTCTCTTTTAGGAGGTGTTGAGCCAACTACTTCGGATTCAACAAAATATTTTAAAATATGGCAGAGAACTACAAACTAAAACTGTCATATTTTCGATTAATTTTGCAAACTTTTTAAAATGTCAACGCGGCTTATCTCTAACTAAGTGGTGTACCACTTTAAATTATTTAGAAGTAGCAGTGAGTAAAAACCCTAAAAATCGAATTTACAAGACCAAGAATTTTAATTTAAAAAACTACCACTCGAAAATATTTATCCGCTGAATTCTCAGCAACACTCTCAGGAGCTATTTTTTCTTGTTCCATACACACTCTCTCAGTTAATCATTTCTCATCGAGATTAATTGTAGTTATAAACAAAGAATTCATAAAGTCGGTTAATTATAAGCTCAGAAGTTCAGACAAAACGTAAAAGTTTAAATTCCCACTCTTCCGCAAATAAATGAATTCAACAATTTTAGGTAATAAGCTAAACGAGTTTCGCTTTGTTTTGAATTAAACTCGATCCAAAAAATGTTTTAACTTAACATTATTATAAAAAAGATTTTTATAAAGGGATAAAAGACGATCATATTCAGTTATAATTACGAAATTTCGAAATATTGATTTTTTTTTTAGATGAAAATGATTCACGGTCATAGTTTTTATTCTTTCGCTCGTATACAAATGCATTTTTAAGAACATCCTTAATATGTCTAGAAATATTCTAGACGTGTGTAGTGCAAAGAGGAATATATAATTATTTTCGCAAATCTTGATTAAATTTACGTTTGTTGGCACTAAACAATTCGATTTTTCTTGAAAAAAACTATCCAACTCTATACAGTTATCTATGATTCAGGCTAATTGGAAACTCCCGCTCTTTACGCATATCCACTTCGACACTTTGCAATGCGTGAGTCTAGTACTTTTTTTAAATTTATTACAAAAAGAAGAAATACTCTAACGGTATTAAGAACATAAATCAGTTATTGCTCAATTAGCCTGATATATTGCAGACTGATTTTAATAAATACGAAAGGCTGATTAGATAATGTATCAATCATTGCTCAACTAGACTTATTCACAATACTTATCTACTCAAAGCGATAGCATAATGCAAGGCTCAATCATAAACAAATGTCGGCTAATTGGTTATATTTTAATGCATTTTTAACTAACAGGTTATAAGCTGGTAATAAGCCATAAACAGTTTGTAATAAGCCTGAAAAATATCAAACTTGATCGAAAATTCGGAATATTCCTTCATTTAGCCTACATTGTGAAATGATGTTGACATTTGCAAAGAGAGGGATTCTTTAATCAGCCTACGACTTATAGATCATCTTATTTTATTTTTCTAGGCTTTAGTAGCTTGTAAGTTGTATAAAGCTATGGCTCAAGAGGCTGCTCAAGATGATATGGAAGCTGATGTTTGTGAAGAAATGAGAAATAATGCACGGTAATTGACTCTTAAAAATGTTATTTATGCACTTTATTATTTGTTCGAAAATTTTAATGATACGACGTAATACCAATGTTATTTTTATTTTACTTACTTATTTGGCCGTACTAAGAGTAAGAATTAATGAAACTGTTTGAATATGATCAAAGGTATCGAAAATACGCATTGCATCCAAAATCTAAAAATACATGCACGTCTGTGAAATTGCACGTGTGTTCAGAAGAAGCATTCAGCAAAACCAAACTCGACCTTCCAACCTCTTCCTCTTAGAGTGAGCTGATGGTGATCCACTTTACAGTCTTAAATAGAAACCCTTACTTTTTTTGTTGCTGATTTGGATTTTACGGAAACAAGTTCGTCAAATTGACACACAGGATGTAACATTTTGATTCATAGGTGGCACTGCAATTGTAAAATGACGATTGAGCAAAAATTGTTTGAAATAGAATTATCTCGGATATGCATGCCAGATTGAAAAATAAATATAAATATTTTTAAAACCTATCGAAGGATAACAAAACCGACTCCTCCCCCTTAGAATAGCCTAAGTCTCAGGGAGTAAGAAATGGAGTTGAATTAGCCGCCTTTACTCCCTAAAAATTTTAAACCCATCGATTTGAAGTAAGCCTTCAAGTTGCCATTACTTCAACCCTAACTCTTTACAGTGACAGCTCAGTTCCTTAAAAACTGAACCACTTCTACTCTCTCTTATTAATAGGTTATGAAGCATTGAATATTAGTTAAAAAAATTATTAACACAGATTTACTTCATTTGATTGTTATGAAATAAAAAGTTTATTACTTTTTTCAGAGAATTCGAAAATTTAGCTCTTGATTTGTTGGATTACTGCTACAGATCTGATGTTCATATCACCCTACAATTGTTAACCTACGAACTTCAGAACTGGAGCAAGCACACGTGCTTGGGGATAGCTGTAGCTGCCAAACATAGTGCGTTCCTCGCACACACAGCCTCGCAGATGCTTGTGGCTGATCTCTGGATGGGTGGTCTCAGAACTCGGAAACACACGAATCTTAAAGTAAATATTTGCTCATCAAACATTTCCTGCTTTTGTGACTAAACAATTTAATTTATGCTTATTTAAATTGATCTGCACATAATCTATACTTTTTAATCTACTAATCCCTTAAAACAATCGATACATGCACTAACCGTGATTAAATTACTCACTAGTGTGGAGTGGGAAAACAAATAAAATTTTACATAAAATGTTAGTAACTGCCTAAAGTTGCTACAAGCGTCAGTTAATTTTAAAATTTTGTAAAATTTCTCCTAAAGCAAACTATTCATTCACTTATCACGATTAAATTACTCATTAATGTGAAGTGATAAAACAAAAAATGTTTACATCAAATGTTAGTAATTTCCAAAAGCTGCTACTAAAGGCAGTTAATGTTAAAATTTTGAAAACTGTCTCCTAAAGCAATCTATTCCTGCACCAACCGCGATTAAACTACTCACGAATATGAAGTGATAAAATATAAAATGTTTACATCAAATGTTAGTAACTACCAAAAGTTGCTGCTGGTGTCAGTTAATGTTAAAATTTTGAAGAAAAAAATGTGCCTTTAAACAATCTATCAATGCACTAAACGCAATTGATTTGCTCACTTGTGTGGTGTGGGAAAGAAAAGAATTCACATTAAATGTCAAGTACTTCCAAAACTAGCCCATTGATGACAGTTAATATTTTAATTTGGACAAATGTCCCCTAAAACAATCGATCCATGCACTAACCACAATTAAATTACTCAATAGTGTGGGATGAGAAAACACATAAAATTTTAGTAATCTTTAGTAATTGTTAATGTGCAAAATTTAATAAATGGTGGGCTCAAATTTTTAGAGTTTTGTGAAATAAAGTTTCACATGACATTTTTAATGACATTTTGCCTTATTTAAATGTACTAACAAAAGTTATATAGTATTTTTTTCTTATTTGAGTGATCTTAATAAATAAAGGTGCTAATAAACAATCTAAGTTTTTTCGCATTTAAACGTAAAAAGTTTCTGTTTTTAAAGGAAATAAAATGACCAAAGTTATGACAGAAACAATTTAAAGCTGTTTTTCGGTGGCACAGAAATAATGCTTTGTTTGCCAAAAAATATAATATTTTCGTAACAGTTGTGGATTTGCAACAATAATTCATGACAGTTAAGTCAAGTTTAGCTAATATTTAGCCAGCGTCATCTGTGCTTATAAAAAAACTGGCGCAAAACGTGAATGTAAAGAAAAACTACAGTTTTGTCAAACTGAAAAACATTCGTGATCTAATTTTTAAATAATTAAAAAGTTTCTCGACACCAAATTATCTAGGCGTAAAATGTCTTAAGAAATTAAGAGTTATTCATTGATTTTGAAAATTTTCATCAAGGTGAAAAAATCTTGCCTCGTTGGCAATTTTCAATAAAGTTTAATAATTTTTTAAATGTTTGTTTTTCTATATCTAAAGCCCAAACAATTATTAATGGCAAGATGCCATATTTAAATTAAAATCACTGCTTTGCTTTAATTGTAAGACACTTTGTGGCTTTTCCTATTTTTCTCGGTGAAAAGGTTTTGAAAAACATTATTAAGTGAGTGTTGTATAAATGGGTTTATTGATTTCGCCAGTTGGAAGCTTGTAGGAAAGAAAGAAATACAAGGCATAATCGTTTTCTCTTGTTGTAAGCGCATAAAAATCTTTAATTTTATCAAATATCATGTAGATCATTGCTTTTATCAGTTTGATCACTTAGATTATTTGGTCACTTAGTCTACTCAGCTATCTAATTATAATTAGAAACATACTTTAATCTAATTTATACAGAAGTCATGGCATTCCTTATGAACAACATAACACCAATGCCGTTAGTGTGAATTATGGGTACATCAGTACCATCTTGGTATATTAGTACCATATGGTTAAGTATCAGTCATCAAATAGTATCATATATCAGTCGTCAAGTAGTGATATCCCATTGTAAACGTATACAAACCCTAATTAAGTCAAATTTACTAAGATATCACGTAGATCTTTACTTTGATCAGTTACATCATTTGGATGTAACTTAGATCATTAAGTCATTTAGATCACTCAACTTTTCTATTGAGAGATAGACTTATTTTAATTTAGTCAGAAGACAAAACATTTCTTATGACCAGTGCCGTTAGTGTTAACTGAGTTATATTCGAACTATATGGTATATTAGTCGTAGTGATTTGATGAATCATGTATTTATTGCAGGTGATTCTTGGCTTGCTGTTTCCAATTACTATTATTTATTTGGAATTCAGGAGCCGAGAAGAGTTACAATTGATGCCACAGACGGAAGAGGAACATAATATGGGTATGGCCGAACTGGATGACGAAGTTGAAGGGACTGGGGAAAAAGAAAAAATGGTTCGTCAAACACCTCGTCCCATTCGTGAACAATATGATGTAAGAGCATGGATTTTTAAGACTAAATTAAAGAAAACTTCGTATTTGCGACATTTCGACGTTTCTAGAAAAAGATTTTTAAAAAAAATAGTGGCAATATTTATTTACTTTTGGCGAAATAAAGATGCATAATATAAATAAGGAAAATATGTTTTTTAGGTTTGATATTCTCCTCACATAAATTCATAAAAATTAAATTATATCCTGTACATTAAATTGCACAATAAACTTATTTTAAAATTCGCTTCAAGGTTTTCATTTTCAATTTTGTAGCTTACTTCATCATAGTATAACCTTCTTCGATATTAGGTACAGTTCTCGAATGACTCTTCCATTGAAAAGCTACTTCTTTATTTTTATTTTAGTTAGCGCAGAAGTATTCTAAAGCCTCCATTTTTTATGTTAGTTTGTTAGAAGATTTGAATAATAATAATACTTTATTCGAAAAAATATTTACTCTGAGGTATTTGTGAAATACTTTATTGGGAAGAACCAACAACCAAAAACCTCTCGATACATTCATTACTGATAACCATGATATTTTTGCAGATTAAAGAATTATCATCTCTTTCTCTCTCTCTAACTTTGTTATTTTTAAAAGAGATACTTTTAAATTTTTTGTTGAATAATAAGTTATGCCAAGTTAAAATGAGCAAAAATATTGTTTTTCGGTAGAATATAGCAACAAATCTTCAATTTGTTCTGTTTGGACTTCGAACAACGCACTACCTCCTTCATTCGCCAAAAACTTCCTCATTTAGAACGTTTTGAAACTCTATATTGTGCTGTCACATAAGTATTTAATTTCTTTAGCATAACAAGAGTAACTTAAAATTATTTAAGCAAAAAATTCGAGAAAAAAGAGTTAATAAAGAATGCATGAGAAAAATTTTTTTGCTCGTTGCAAATGAATAGGAGCAAAACATTCCCTTCAATTTAGCATCTTAAGTTATGTTTCTTAGTTGAAAGTAACTAATATATGTTAAAAGCATATTTTCAAACAATATGCTGTTTAGTAGGTTTATTCTTATCATTCACAAATTAACACGTTCACGCCGGGAAAAGAGAAATACTGGTAGAAGAACTATTTCAATATTATATAACATTCAGGAGGAGTTAATCTATTCTCAACAATAAAAATTCTCTGTAAGGAAATTTATCACGGCGAAGAAGCAATTCAATATAAAAATTGCATCCGTTAAAAACAATTGGTAGTTATGGATTTTTATTATTCCCGGAAAAAAACTAAAAAATGAAATTTATTGTTACCAGTTTTTACTCCGGTGCGCTGCCCAAATGAGACAATCTAGCGTGACCCACCGGTGGGTCACCCCGGCGTGAACGTGTTAATTCAAAATAAACAATTCGTTCAAAATTTTTACTCCAGATTAGTAAAAGATAACTAAAGAACAAATAAATTAAAACTATATCAAATCGTAAAGGAGCTATTAATTGTACCTTTGTGATCTTTTCTTAACTTGAAACAGAGTATAAATATATTTTTATATCTTAAAAAACAGTATACAGTGAAATGTGCGGAAATAAATAATGAATTTTTAGTTTAATGTGAATGTTTTTTTTCTGCAGTCTTACGTCAATATTCGATCGGGTAGCATCTGCCAATCAAATGCCCGAATCAACAAGATCGAGAATGGTAAAGTTTTCCCTTTTGAACTCAGTCTCGATAGTGACAAAGACAGGAAGAAAAACCAGCAAAAGCCTTTGAAATTAGGAAAGAAGATTTACGAATTTTATGGTGCACCCATCACGAAGTTTTGGGGACATACGGTGAGCTCTTTTTCTTCTAAATATTAAAACATTTTTGCACGTTTTCAGTTCATAAATGCTAGTAAATTAAGCTGCTTAAAAATGCATATATTTTTTTTATTGTAAAAAAAGAGGGGTCTAAGAGATGAGTTGAGATTAATCTCTTCGCTTTTACTATAAGCTCTAGGGGCTGGTTCTAATATTGTTAAATCAAGATAGAAGGGGCCAGTGGGTGAGAACCATCTGTACTTTGTACTGTAGTTTCAATTTAGTAGCATCTTTTAATGAGAAATGGTATAAGTTAATGAGAAACGGCATGATTTCCTACAAGTTTTTCTGGTTTTCTTTAACCCTTTCGCGCCGACTGTCACAATTACGTGCCAGCATAAAACCGGTAACCAAAGTATTTCGTTAGCAGTTTATTTGTGGGCGGAGTTATAATTGTTTGATTTATTTAATTCACCATTACTTTGTTCAAAATAAAAATATTTAGTTATACTTTGAATTAACATTGATTATATATATGATTAAACTAACAATAATTAAAGTAAAAGCAAAGTAAATCTGTCAAATTAGCAACGACTACATTTGAGTTACCCTTTTTTTATTTAATTACAACTTGATTCTGATTTTGTACGGATGCTTTTCTGAATCACCCGTCCCCAAGGGGTTAAGTTTTATTGTTACAGTAGGCCTAAAATGTTTTATGTTCTTGTGCTCGCTTGGAATAAACATAATAATCGTTCAAGACTACTATTATACGTTTAAAAAAATTGTGAAACAGTACAGCTGGTATTTTAGTAACTTTTAACCTAAAAACTTTTTTTTTAAAAGAAAAAAAATATTTAAAGGAAAAAAAATTAAAATGTTAGCCTAAAGTTTCGGCGCATTATTGAAAAACTTATTTTTAGAGCGACGCATAAACGAAGGATGATTATCATTATTTTCCTACCTAATGTACAGGGACCTATAAAAATCATTGTATAAATGAAAAGAAGTGCATAAAAGAAGTGGTGCATAAGTGAGAGGCCACTGTATTAGTATTTAATACAATGATGTTCTTTAACACTAGGTTTAAGGGACACGTCATTTTGACGGATTTCGACTTTTGTAAGGAAAATTATAAAACCCGTTTGAATTTTTATTTTATCTCTTGTAATGACTTTTAACCATTGATCGAAGTAAATATATATCAAATGCTATTTACCACAAAAGCGTTGAAATATTGAAATTCTCTATGTGGTATACCTATTTCTACGGATATGCGTCAATTTGACGCGATCATAATTTAGACAAAAGTTTAAGTAAACAAGCAATACGTCAAATTCATACGTCAAATTGACGTGTGTGCGTAGAGATATGTATGTAAGAAACGTCCGTAAACCTAGTGTTAATAACTGTGAATTAAATATCTATTCTTATATTTAATATGAAGAAATTGAATTTAATAGAATAGTGTCTAACACTAAGGTTTCTGTAATGATTCATCTTCATACGTTTATTAATATAAATTTGTTAATATAAAAATTTTATTATAAAAGTTTGATTAATGTATAATGTCTTTTCATTTGAAAGAATACAACAAAATATGTAAATTTATTGGATTAATATACCTAATATCTATTTTAAAGCATGAATAAGGCGCTTAACCTTCAGAAAAACCTATTTGATCTGAAAAAATATAATTCAAATGAATAATTTTCTAGTTATGTGCTACAGCGCAAAAAATACACATTAGAATATCTTTTAAATGAATAAACTGTACTACAATAATAAAAGGTTTAATGACTATTGATTATAAAAATAATTTTTTCAATTTGTAATAAAACTTCTAAAATGAATTGTTTGATATTTTTAGATGCGATTATTAGTTTCATTATTTCTTACTTGAATATTTTTAATTTTAATTATTTTCATAAATTAAATATTTAAAAAAAGTTTATAATTTTTTTTGGATAAAAATTAAATATGTTTTAAGTTTATTGCAGGTGTAGATTTTGGTCTGCATACTTTTGAAAACTCAGCTAAAATCCGATAGCTACTTTTTTACGTTATAGATATCTACACGAAGTTACTTTTGACTTGATGCCAAACAATTTCCATTAATGTTCATTTTATTATTCATAGATGGCGTATGCTATATTTCTGGTGCTCTTCACTTTTGTTGTTCTTGTCAAAATGCAACATCACATGTCATGGCAAGAAGCTTATGTGACGTCATATATCTGCACGTTGGGTCTGGAAAAGATAAGAGAGGTAAATTTTTAATTGATATGGTAAATAGAAAAACAAGAACAATATTTTAAATCTCTGAACATCATTGAAATGTTCTGTATTTTATGAAGAGAAATAGGAGTAATACCTGCGGATAGAGAATGTTCGTGATCTTAACGACAGTTATTAGCTTTCAGTCACGAAAATAACTTTTATGTAGTGGCTACGTACGTACCCATTTGTACCTACTTATACTACGTACCTGGTAGTGAGGAAAAACTGGTAGAAAAACCATTTTTTAACCTGTTTCCGGGATTGAAAAAATATTTTCCCTAGCAAGAAACAGTCTTATATACATTTTATTTCAATTAGATACTCATGATTATCAAGCCTATTTAATTCTTCCCAAAAGCAAGCTAAAAATAAAATGGTTTTGTTACCAGTTTTTTACCCATTTCTGGAGTAAGGCTCCTCGCGAGAGACTTTCTCTTGATGGTAAATTAGTAATTAAATTTTAAACTTGTAATTTTAACCCATTTGTGTCCAGCGTCCTTATAAAAGGATGGTTCCTTTTTGCAATAAAGCAAGAAAAATTTTTATGATAATTTAAATACTACATCATCACTTACAAACTTAGTTGTCCCACCAGGAGAACTTAGAACTGTGTTTTCTTTGACTACTAGTATTTAATTGCATCATGATCGTGATTTTAATCATGCTGTAATTAAATACCAGCAGGAAAAAAACTATTATTTTAAAAAAATTCATTGATTAAAATTTATCAAATTTTTTTATTAGAAATAAACTATTCATTAAAATCAAAAATATTTTTCTGTTTCTATATGTTTTTTTTTTAAGTTTGATGAAAAATTTTTCGATAAGTGGGGAAGAAAAAAAAATCATCATCATAAAAATGCAACCAACTTTATTAGGAACTTTGCACATAACCTTATATTTATATTATTATGAAAATACATTGAGAATGACTGCTGGTAAAAATAGAATTATTAAAAAATTATCAAACACCAGCGGTCGTCATAGAAACGCATGCAATGACGACGCATGCGCTCTGTTTACTATTACTCTTGAAGACAGTTGAAAAGTGTGATGTTGTCCAAATAAAGTTTGCACGCCATCAAATCTAAAACAAGACCCATTTTGCCAATTGGTAAAAAAAAAATATTCTTTCGTTTCAGGTTGTTGCATCAGAACCCGTTAATTTTACCCAAAAGATGTCTGTGTGGGTGGAAAAGAAGTGGAATCCGTGTGATTTAGCTGTTATCATTTTCTTCTTCGTTGGAATGTCTCTGAGGTTGAATCCAGCCACTAAGGATTATGGGAGAGTAATTTATTGCCTGGATATTATGTACTGGTATATACGATCCCTGGACTTTCTCAGTGTCAACAAATATCTGGGACCTTATGTTACAATGATAGGGAAAATGGTAAGTACCTTTATCTGTACTGATATTTTTCTCCGCTACACCTCATTAAAACTAGGACAAGTCAAATCATGAAAACGGAATTCAAATGTGAAATAGAAAAAAAGCAACATTTGGTGTCACTTTAAATATTCAACTAAAATATGTCGCTAAAATGAGAGAATTTAACTGATAAGATATGTCCAGCATTTTGGAATAACAGAAATGTAATAATATGAACATAAGATAATATGCAATATTATTCATATTATCATGCCCAGATGTGTCGGAACATTTTATTTGAATATTAAGATTAGTAATTTCTATGATTTAACATTTTTATATTATCTTTGTCCCAAATTACTTGCTGCATTTGAATATTTTTGAACTGATTATTTATACTGATGATTTTATGATTTTTTTCAACATTTTTCAGATATTTTAGGGAGCTATGCTATCAATCCGCAACAATTATCTCCCAAGCATTCCCTCCTTAAATCAGTACTAAATTTTAAAAAAATCCAGGGTTCACACGATTTTAAGCCGTGTCATATTTTATAAGGACTCTAATACCAGTAACTTACTTCTAGCTAATGAATTATGAATTCATTGGTAGTATAATTTTACTTGCCTCGATCTACTAAACTGGAAATTATTTATGATTCCACCTACTTTAAATGTATCAACAATTTTGGGATAAAATTTCCTACCTAAATGTAGCAACTAATTTAGAACGGAGGGAGCAATGATTTCGATTTAACATTTTATACATTTTATAAATTTTATTTAGAATGACTTCATTCACCACTACATACAAACAGTTTGTACTTCTAAATAAACATATCAAATGCTGGTATAATTAAATAATATTAATTCTCATTTAAGCATGCAAACAGCAAAGAAGAATTAATTCTCATTACAATACAAATTTATACCTGCCAACTTTTGCGCATTTGGCGAGAAATCTTCTTTATTTAAAGTGGTAGTAAAGTATGCTTTCTATATATTACTTGCAATTAAAAAATTAATTCTTAGTCTTTATGGCCCCCACTATTTTTTTAAAAATTAAAAATATATAATAATATCTAATACTGAAACTGTTAATCGTTTATTTCACGACGACCACAACAGTATCACGGCGTTATAAGCTGACGATACTGGAATCTTGCAGAACTCTCTCAAACCAGATAATGCACATCAAAAACTACAGAACAAGTTATATGATGTTGAAGACTGGTGCCTAAATTGGAAGTTCAAACTGCAACCCTGAAAAGGCTCCGATCCGGGCAAGCCGTAGTTCCATTAATATCAGTACAGTGAGCAACCTGGTAGGAGTGGTTGAATACCAGGACGACCGGGTCATTTATAGTTATAGCAGATACTTATATCAATATTAACCATCCGTTAGTGTTATTTAATCATGTTATTATTTTATGCGTATAGATTAAATGCAGATTTAATCTGATCACCGCCACCGCAATTCCCCACCATTATCCACTTGTAATGCCATTATTACAGGTGCCCACGGGCACACCTTCAGATGAAAGTGTGAAGTGTCCGCTTCGCGGACAGGTACACTGAAACAGAACTCAGTTCAAGTACGCTGTATATCTCACTCAGATGAATTAGTTAGAGCCCCTGGCAGGTAATGAATATGAGTACTCTATAGTTCGTATAAGCAAGCTATTTCAAAATACAGATATGTTTTTGCCTGAAACTGTGAATTAAATTCTACTTTATTACCACCAGAGAAAATCATCCTCGAAAGGATTAAAAGATGGCAGGTATGCAGATTAATTCTCCTTACATTGTTGTTTGACAACTAATTAAAATGTTCTAGGAAGCTGTGTAATGTATATGCAGCTATGCAATGTACATATTCTATTACATAATTGATGTTTTAGGTAATAGACATGATATACTTCGTGGTTCTCTTGCTTGTCGTATTGATGAGTTACGGCGTAGCAAGACAGGGTATCCTAAATCCGGAAGAAGAACCATCTTGGTTACTAGTAAGACACATATTCTATATGCCGTATTTTATGCTTTACGGAGAAGTATTTGCTGACAGAATAGAAGGTAATTATTTTTTTTTTATCTTTCTGTCATTCTAAGTTTTAAAATTTTTAGAGCTCAAACAGTTTAAGCTCTCCCACATTAGCCAATTGTCAGTCAGGTTCCACAATTTCATTATTGAGGCAATGACAGCATGCTCATCGGCTGCCTTTACTCCCAAACTTACTGGTAAACATCCTTCTTAAGCAGTTTCGGCTTCAAAACACCTCAAGATTAAAACCCAGGCTAGAGTCCCTGAATTAAACAGGCCGACTTAACATTTATAGTTAGAGCAAAGAGCTAACATAAGCACAGCGAATAAATATTTTCAAGTGTTTATTAATTGTAATTCTTGGTTTAATAAGTTCGATTTAGTAGATTTTAATCCACCTCTATTTCTAAACAATGCGTAGGCTTATATAATTCACCACTGTATAGTACTAATCATACCCTCCAACTGCTACGGAATTTCCGTAGTTCCAGAAATCTTCTTTTCAGACGGTAGCAAAATTAATGTCTTAATATTTTAAAAAAATTAATTTTAGCTTAACTTGTCCACTATTACTTATAAAAGTGCAGGCCATATGGCTAGATTCTTAAGTTCTGATAAAAGTTTTATGAGAGATCCATTTGCTTAAAAATTTCTACTTTGGTTCGCTACCACTAGAAAGAATTATTTTCAAAATCCTCATAAGTTGCAGGGTATGGTACTTACTTATTACATGCTTAGCATTTTTAAAAGAAAGCAAATATTGTCAACTATTTGCAAATTTTATTTTGTTGTTATTTACCGTTTTTTAAATTATTTTGGAGTGTCCGGGGCAGTTGGCATCTCTGTAATAATATAACTAATGCTAACATAATGTTAACTTGCGAAATTGTTTGCTCCAATATTGCTTGATAGGTCAGCTCTGATAGTATAGGAGCCTTAGCCCAGGCTCTTCCGTGGTTGACCACGGTATCATAGGAGTTTATATAATGACTTTTTTTTGTAATACCATAGAATTCTATTTTTTTTTACACTTAGAATAAGAGATAATTACAATTATTATAAAGTTTTGATTTCTGAGCACCGAGTTATGTTACTAGCCTGCTTTGTGAAAAACATCGGCTACTGATACTTTATTATTTCAACTCTGGATATTCAGAGTCGTGTGGAAGATAGCAGCAAAGTAATTTACAGTAAACTCTGTATTTTCTTTCTTCTTTTTTGTTTCATATGTTTTGTGCTATATCTTTCATATGGCGCGAAATCGATATCGTTTCATCAAAAACAATCAACCTGAAAATTGTAAAAGTTATTCCAAACTAACCATGTTCTAATTGTAACCATGGCAGAAACTTATTTTGATGTAAAAAAATTGATTTTTTTCTGACCTGTCTGATTGAGAATAAGAGAAAAATTACAATATCTAATTTATGTAAACAATTGTACTGTCTGGAGAAGAGTTCGAATTACACCCATATGTTTTGTGCTATATCTTTCATATGGCGCGAAATCGATATAGTTTCATCAAAAACAATCAACCTGAAAATTGTAAAAGTTATTCCAAACTAATAATTTGATCTTTAAACGGAAATTATTTTGAAAAGAATGAAAATGCAAAAGTATTTAAAATCACCTGACAATCAAAGCTCTCGTTCAATATTATTTTATTTTATAACGTTGTTCAACTCCGTATTGTAATTTTGAACTCGATTCAAAAGAAGAGGTAACTCCTGGGAGTAAGTATAGGGAGAAATTTGGCTTCGTGAGAACTTTTTGATTTAACTTAAGCCTCGTTTGCGTTACATGAAGAGGAAGACCACAAAAACTTCCCACGGTTAGTCTAACGGGAAGGGAACTCTAACTCATGATCCGTCTACCACTGAGTATATTTTACGTCAGCACTGTGGTTGGCGTGAGCAGGGTGTGGAATTCGTATCGACCGGCCCTCGCCGGTTCACTTTGTTGGAAAGCGAACGCTCTATCTCCTGAGCCACCCGCAGTTCTCGTTGGATATTTATTAAAAGCAAAAAATATAAATAAATAAACGTTGAATATGATTGCAAAATAATATTCATGTTACAAGCACAGTCATGTTACAAGCACTGCATTTAACTGACCACTGCCATAGAACAATGCCTTAACCCTGAAGACGCATATGTTCCCCTTTTGAGAACGTATTCTTTTCTGGAAAAAGTCAAAGAAATGTATTTTTTAAATAAAAATTTATTATAGACAATCACGACATCTGAAATCACTACCCAATAGCAACAATATAAATCTGTTTATTTTAATCAAAGAAAAATAATAATAAAATTAAGTTGTTATGAAAGCTTGAGTATCATAAACTCATTATGATACTCATGTTCAAAAGCAAGAATAATAATTTTTTTCCACTCAGTAGATCAAGAAATTGACTTTTTTCTCTTGAGTACTGTAAGAAATTGATATTTTATCAGTTGAGTACTGTAAGAAATTGATATTTTTTCTCTTGAATACATTACATCTCTCTTGGAAAAATTAGAAGTATCGGTTGCAAATCAAGACTTTTTAAAGATATCGTATAAAAAAATATTTTTTTGCGATAATATTTATTTGCGAAAAAAATATATAAAAAATTTTATTAAAAATATCTTCTTTCTTCAGCTCAATGTGGAGATGGAAAAGGACAAGTACCTTGCAGACCTGGAATGTGGATCAATCCTGCCATCATGGCAATTTATCTCTTGATTGCAAACATTCTATTAGTCAACTTACTCATTGCAGTATTCAAGTAAGTAATCTATATATATATATATATATATTTTCTTAAATTGTGTCAAAGTTAAGGGTATTTCATAATCTAAGTTGGCAACGCTTCAATCATAGATAAGTGCATTAGATCTTTTCGTCTNAGTATCGTAAATTGGCATTCATTTAATTTAGTTGGCACAAAGACCCAACAAGTGAGCAGTTGCTTGTGTTCTGCTGTGATTTTTTTCTGCAAACTTTAAATATGCCGGATGATAATCGTCGTCTCAAACTTCTTACTTTATTTTAGAAGCAAAAAGCTAGCAGTGCAGAAACGTTTTTGGGTGCACGAAATGGTACTTACGTATTAACGCCACCGCAGCTACAGATTTGGCGGTTTTTAAGTGCCGCTAATCTACAGCCTTTATTGGCGCAACTTCTGCAACAATGTAAGTACGAACGAAATAAATGAGGCAAGATCTGTTGAAGAAGATTTTTATGTGCTTTTCCATAAGCTACAAAAAGTCCCAAATAAATTTCTTAATTACGCCCGAATGAGAGAAACCAAGAACAAGAATGATGTTAAAGAGGAATAATTTTTATATGGCTTTTGAGTTGGCGTCTGCTCGCCAACTTACGTCTGTGATCACTTAACATTACTTAAATTCTTTAAATATTTTAAAGTATTAACGTTTTTTTTAAAATCGAATTAAAATATTAGTTTCATTTAGAATAATCTTTTTAAATGATTGTTTAAATGAGTTTTATCAAATTTATCTTATGAAGCCGCTCTACCATGTTTCAAAAAATGTTTCACTTGAATCAGGAAGCAGACTTTTTATTATTCAATCAAGCAGAAACCAGTAGTTAGATCGAGTTCTGTTTGAAATACATAATGGTCTTTATTCACCTTCTTATCAAACCATTACTATTATAAAAAATACCATTTCTTCATTAAAGCATATAATGAACTTATAAAAATTTTCAATGAAACTTTTATGATTGTTTAAGTCTTTCAACCTCACTATAATGTAAAAAATGCAACTTCATAAAATTAAAAATTTATAACCAGACATGAGAATAAATTATATAAAACTTTTATTTTCAAATTTTACATTTGACATGATCTAATAAAAGATTAAAATTGATTAAAAGAATAAAATAATGATATCAAAAGAGGAGATAAAACAGGAAAAATACACAACAACTAATAAAATCGCCACAATTTGAGGAGAAATTTGCTTGCTTAACCGACATTCGATTCCGACAAACGATATCGCCTTGTCGGATACGAAATAATCGTTATCGTATCGGTGAGTGAAAAAGCGCTCCGTTGCTGACCATGTATTTTACTTGACCCTCTGTCGTTCGCCGACAATCGGATCCGTTTTGTCGTTATCGTGTCGTGTAATGAAAAAGCGCCCTTACTGTTCGTTCTCGATGATCCGTCTCATCCTAAATTATGCATCTCCAGCTTGGTGCAACATCACTCCTTAAAAAAACTCAGGAAAATAACTAAAGCAAGATGGTTTATCCGCAATAAAAACATACATCGCGACCTCAACATAGATTTTTTAGATCATCACATTGCAAAGCATATATTGTGACACCGCAGGATTCAACGAAATTTTTTCTTTCGAAAACTTAAGAGAAGACATAAACCTCAGGCCGATTGCAGCTCATTTTTGTAGTGACATAATTTTAACTAAAATACAAAATATTTGATTTCCTTTTATTCCAATTACCAGAAAGAACCACCTTAAAGATTAAATACAAGATGAATGGGAAAAAAGACGCTAACGGCCCCAGGCGCCCAGTTATATTTCGATGATGATGATGACGTTACTGTTCGTATCTAAAAAACACTAGGACGCTATAGTTCGTATAAGCAAGCTATTTCAAAATACAGATATGTTTCTGCCTAAAATTGTAAATTAATTTCTACTTTACTTCCACCAGAGAAAATCATCCTCTGCAGGGGTCCCCAACCCTATGCCCGCGGGCACCATGGCGCCCGTCGATCGATCTAGGTGCGCCCGCTGCTCAACTATAAAATATTTCAGTTTTCCATTTTCCCAATAAATGCTATGCAAATACATACTGAAGTACGCTGGCTCAGTAAAGCTAAAGTATTTTAATAGATTTCTACATATAATTGGAGAAATAAAAAATTATCTTGCAACCAAAAATCATACATTTTTAGAACTAAGAGATAGATCCTCTTTGGCTAGCAGATTTGTCTTTCATAACGGACGTAAGGAAAAAACTAAATTATTTAAACTTGGAGCTGCAGGGAAAGGACAAACATAAAGCAAAAATGATAGAGGCTGTTAACTCGTTCAGAGCTAAGCTAGTTTTGTGGATATCACATTTGAAAATGAAGTCTCTTGTGCATTTTCCAAACATGAAAAAATTGATAGGTGACAGTGAAATTGACATTTGTCATCAACCTCCAATTGCTTAAAGATCAATTTAATAGCAGCAATTTAATATCATCGAGCCTTTGATAACTTTTTTGTTAATCCTCTTACCAACCAAATAAACGTAACCGTAATAGCAACATACATTTCAGAATTTCTTCAAGTAAAGCGAGAAGAATTGGATATAGAAATTTTGGATCTCCATTGGATGACATTATCCTCAAAACTATTATATCACATGAGAAATTCTGGAATATATTTGAAGGACTAAATTCCATTCTTAAAAAGAGCATCATATTCTCCCAATTATGTAGCGCTGGTCAGCGAAATGCCATGCCAAACACCACATGCCACTGTATTTTATAAATAATTTTTATACTTCGTATGTTTTAAAAGCAATTTAGTAATCATTTATTTTACACAAAAATATTAATTGCATTCATATGTTAAATTAATTTTTGAAATTTAATTTTTTGTGCACTATATGTAGTGTGTATTATTACCTATGTCTACCAACTATAAATTTATGTTGAAAAAATAAATGGTGCCCGCCATTCGACCGATATTCTGGTATTTGCTCTTAGGTACAAAAAGGTTGAGGACCACTGCTCTAAAGGATTAAAAGTTGGCTGGTATGGAGATTAATTCTCCTTACATTGTTTTTTGACAATTAATTAAAATATTCTAGGATTTCCGGTTGGGCAGCTATGTTATGTATATGCAGCTATCCAATGTACATATTCTATTGCATAATTCATGTTTTAGGTAATAGACATGATATACTTCGTGGTTCTCTTGCTTGTCGTACTGATGAGTTACGGCGTAGCAAGACAGGGTATCCTAAATCCGGAAGAAGAACCATCTTGGTTACTAGTAAGACACATATTCTATATGCCGTATTTTATGCTTTACGGAGAAGTATTTGCTGACAGAATAGAAGGTAATTATTATTTTTTTTTACCTTTCTGTCATTCTAAGTTTTAAAATTTTTATAACTTAAAACAGTTAAGCTCTCCCACATTAGCCGATTGTCAGTCAGGTTCCACAATTTCATTATTGAGGCAATGGCAGCATGCTCATCGGCTGCCTTTATTCCCAAACTATCTGGTACGCATTCTTCTTAAGCAGTTTCGGCTTCAAAACACCTCCAGATTAAAACCCAGGCTCTTCGGTGGTTGACCACGGTATAATAGGAGTTTATATAATCACTGTATTTTATAATACCATAGAATTCTATTCTTTTATACTTAGAATAAGACATAATTACAATTATTATAAAGTTCCGATTTCTGAGCACCGAGTTTTGTTACTAACCTGCTTTGTGAAAAACATCGGCTACTGATATTTTATTATTTCAACTCTGGATATTCAGATTCGTGTAGAAGCTAGCATGTTACAGTAAACACTGTATTTTTTTCGTTTTCTATGAGATTCTATTACGCTATGACAAGCTTTCTGGTAATAAAAATTTTTAATTTAATTTGCGGTCAAGGAAATATAATATTTATTCTCTTGGTCGAATTTTTATCCTTTTTGTAAAAAGCATGAACGCATTTCTAAGGAATCAATTAATTTATTTTCATAACTTCTAATTGTAACCATGGCGGAAACTTATTTTGATGTAAAAAAACGAATCGACATTTTTTCAGATGAGAACTGTAAGAAATTGACATTTTTCTCTTGAGTACATTACATCTCTCTTGAGAAAATTAGAAGTATCGGTTGCAAATCAAGACTTTTTAAAGATATCGTATAAAAAAATATTTATTTGCGTACTTCTTTCTGTTTGCAGCTCAATGTGGAGATGGAAAAGGACAAGTACCTTGCAGACCTGGAATGTGGATCAATCCTGCCATCATGGCAATTTATCTCTTGATTGCAAACATTCTATTAGTCAACTTACTCATTGCAGTATTCAAGTAAGTAATCTATATATATATATATATATATTTTCTTAAATTGTGTCAAAGTTAAGGGTATTTCATAATCTAAGTTGGCAACGCTTCAATCATAGATAAGTGCATTAGATCTTTTCGTCTCATTGCACTAGAATTCGTCTTTCAAAAATATGTATAATGGCTAAAGAAAATTAAACTGACTTTGACCACTTATCCTCAGAAATATCTTAAACGCATAAATAAATGCCTGGCAATTGCACGATGATGAGTTTAGGCTCTTTTAAAGCCCCAGTCGTCCGTGAAAAATATTTTAGAGCGAAGACAAATAATATTTACATAATTTAGCAAGCATTTAAAAGTAAACGATTTTCCTCCAGTATACGTCAAAATACCAAATTATTTAGATGTTTGGGAACATATTTTATGACACAAATTTTGCTACATTTATAAATTTTACTAATTTTCCTGATTTCACTTTCCAGTTGGGAAAATCATGCTCAGCAAGGGTAACATTTGGAAAGTAAGGGAATAATATCCTTTCATGAGAGTTTTCAAGCCAGAAGGGTTGAGGAATGTTTTCTTGCATGGGGGATATTTTGCTTCATTGCATGGGTCTTTTGATTCCTGTGGAACAACGTCTGAATCCCCAAGGGTGTTTAAGTGCTATTGCAGATCAAGTAGATCCAGTTATGTTAATAGTGTACACTGCCGGGGATGTATACTTTCAGCAAGGACTGTTCTCCTTGTCTTACAGCTCATATTGTTGTCAAATGATTCGAAGAACATGACGGTGACTTTACCTTGTTTCGCTGGCCCGCACAATCACCAGATCTCAATCCAATTGAGAATTTGTGGGTTGAGATCGAACGGGACATCAGACAGCTGGATCCAGTGACATCCAATCTGACGGAACTGAAAAGTGCAGTTCATGGGATATGAGGTCAAATTCCTTCTACCAACTACCAACATCACAGAGAATCTATGCCAAGAATTCGAGCAATATTACAGGCTAAAGGTGGTCCAACAGTGTAATGAGTGGGTGGTCATAATAATTTGGACACACAATGTACATGGAGTCACGATTTTAGTAATGTAGAAATTAATCGTATTATTTATGTATGTCATTGCCATTGGATAAAAAATATTTCTCAAACTATGTTTCAGCAACATATTCTTTGAGGTTAACAATATGTCACAGGAAGTATGGAAAAGCCAACGTTTCAAAGTCGTGATGGAGTATGAACAAAAGCCGCTCCTTCCTCCTCCTTTGATAGTCTTTTCACACATTCATCTTCTCATCAAGTACTTTCTCACAAGGTGCCAAGGAAAAGAAGATTCTTTTGATCACGGCCTCAGTAAGTTATTTCGTTATAAGTTTTATTATTTTTGGTTTACATGAAAGTTGTGTTTTTCGTTATTGAGGCTACCACTATCTCGTTCATCATCCTGTCAATTTACGCCATGACTTTTTTCACATCGAATAAGTCCGTCAAACCTATGAATTATTCCACGTGCTTCAAGTTCTATACAGTAAGGGTTCGTACGATACTTAATTTTGAAAGTGGTAGTATAAGTAAGTGATTTAAATTAAATCATATTCAAATCGGGTAGAAAGCAGTTTTAATTTTAAAGAGAAAGCTAATAAAAGGAAAATTGTAACTTTTTCATTACAAATAGTGATACCACTTTTCAATTTCTTTTTAAAAACGTACGAACCCTGAATATAGTTCCTGAATAAAATAATAAATGATAAGCATCAATTCTTAAAACTTTTTTTTTGAATTTTTTTAATAATCTGCATTAAACAAAAAGCCAATTAGTAGGTTTTCGCCAATCAATGTTCAACCACCTAGGCTTGTAATTTCAAACAAAACTCAGAAGACAAGGGTATTCCAGGATAAAGTATTATAAAAAACTTTCCTTCGTATAATTGAACTAACATGCATTTGTGTTACACTGGAAAGAAAACCACGAGATTCTTCCATAGTTAGTCCAATGATTCTAATTCATGATCCGACTATCAATGGGGATCTATATTATATCAGCACTGTGATCAGTGTGACCCGGACATAGAATTCAAATTGGCCAGCCATCTCTGGGATTGGAACCTGGGTCGTTTCATTGAGAGACGAGCACTCCCTGAAACATCGGTACTCATACCCTCAATATTATTTTGAATTATCTGGACCAAATATTTAATATGTAATAAATTTTTTTTAAAACTAAATTAACTGCCTAAAATATCATAGCTTTGAATGCAACTCTAAGCTGAATAAAGCGATAACAAAAAGTATTCAATGAATTAGAATATTTATATGAGAACCAAGAAATTCGAGTAGATTACAATTTTATCTTTAGCGTACTATATTTATTTTTGAAATAAAAATATAACGAACACTGACATTTTTATTGGAATAATATGTTAAAATGTTATAATTAAGCAAAAATTTATTAAATTTCCTTCATGTCAAAATGAAACATTTATATATTAATGATACGGAAAAAAGTATTTAAACAATGTGAATAGTTATTATAGGAAATTTATTATCAATGCAATTATTTTAAAAATATTTTACGGTGTTAGTATTCGTTATTAGTAAACCTTTTTCGTAAATAGACGACTCTCGTTAACGTACATTTTTTTCGGTTCCAAGAGTGTTCGCTTAACCGAGGATCCACTGCTATTTATTTCTCTTTTAATTTTTTTATACTGAAAATCAAGACTTATTATCAGTAAGAAAATGCTAACTCATTATTGAAGACTCATTGCAGAATGATCCATATAGATGTTGTGTATTTATATAATTGTGTTGATAATTTTTCTGAAATTCCTTTATTTAATTTTTATTATATCTCTAAAATCTGATTATCGCGATCTTATAAAATGCATTTTTGTTATGAAATTCTTTACTTTCCCATTGGAATATGTATTTTCTCTCTTATTTCAGAACTTTTTTTATCCGAAAGCGACGTTCAGAATATATACGACTTCGAAGAAGAGTGTGTAGAAGGTTATTTTCGAGAAAAAGAAACCGAACTACACATGTCAACAGAGGAACAAGTTCGGTTCACAACCGAAAGGTAAAAAATTTCATCACTCACTGAAATTTTTGAAAGACATAAAATCATAACGCAGTTGAACAATGTGCAAAAATAAACGAATCATCCGGAATAACTTTTGATTTAATAATCGGATCTTCACGTTTTAGGACTCAATCCCAATGGTTCGAGAAGATTACCTTAAATATGTCAATTTATAAATGGCAGACGATATTTTAAACTACAAAATCAGACACAAAAACGTACTTTCTTTGAATAAACATACCTGAAAGATCAAAACTGAAGCTACTTTTATCATTTTCTCGTATACTTATACCAAATTGCATTACTGGCTGAAAATGGTCATTAAACTACTACAAGTCTGCACTTCTACAAGTCTGCATACCCTTTTTTGGTGAATTCGGATTTCTGACCCCCAAAATATAAAGGATTGTCAGAATCTGGTAAATATGACCCCAATAGTATGGTCAGGAGAGCGTTCGAAAGTTTAGACCTCTTAATGTTAATTTTACTTTTTGAGTTTTTCGCCTCATCTCGAGAACTTATAAAGCTAGTTGAAAACTTTTAGGTGCATAATTATAAAATTCGTTTACGATATTTCCATGCAAAAAATAACTCTTCATATATATTTACTATTTTTAATTATTTTATTTAGCCAAGAAAAGTTTTGTACAACAAGGTACATAATTTTTTGCATAATTTTAAAGGATATAATTTCACTTGGCACAGTACGAAATTTAAACGAAATCGGATGAATAGTTCCTGAAAAATCAAATTTTCAGTATCCGACTTTTAAAATTCGATTTCTAGAACGTGAAAATCTGATTATTATCAGAAGTTATTCAGGTTAGTCCGTTTTTTACGCACTGCACATAATAAAATTTGAGAGAGTCGAATACATTAACCCATTTTAACTCAATTAACCCTTTACATGACCGTGGGAAGTATACTACCCGCCAACTTTTTTTATTTGATAAGAAGCTTATTTCCCTCCAATGATTTGTGCTGCCATCTCTTGATAAATTCAGAAAATACAAAAATAAATAAAAAACAATGAGAGGGATTTTGTTAATAGAAATGTGAGTAACAGTTAATTTTAGTGAGGGCTAAGAAGAGAGGCCAATACTGTAGATCTATTTTCTCTTGTGCTTCATGCGTTCGTTCGTTTAATGTTTTATCTTCAAGTTTATTTATAGTTATCAATTCAGAATTAATGCACGGAGTTTATAATTCGGTCATTCTAAAACACAGAAATTTAAGTTTATGGTAAATTCTTTTCAGTTGAAAAAATTTTTAAAAATATTTCACACTTTCCACTAAATATTTGGTCGTAAAAATTAAATTAATTTTAAGTAATAAACTAAATTAATTTCTTTTCATAATTCTCAAAATTCTAATTCTCACAAATATTTTAACATAACATTAATACAAAAAAATGGCTCTATAAAAGATTATAAGGAAGGTCCTTTTTTCAAAAGGCAAGCGTTTCATTATTAGTGCGTTTTCAAAACTAGATAGTTCTCCAACAAAAGATAGGGTATACTTTGTGCTATGTAGACTAAGTGAGAATACAACGCGAATTAACCGCAAATGAAAGTGCATAAATGGACTTACTATAGTTTCAGTTCTCTAAACAAAAAACTTTCTTCTGTGTCTAAACACCAAAGGAAGTGGTATTACTGGATTTCATTTGCTCGTAAGAAGAGTACGAAGAGCTCGTGCTGGTTCGTAAGAAATGATACAATACACCATGACCTCAAAATAGATGCAATAGACAAACATATAGCTAAATTAAATAACAAATTCTACGAAAAAGCCACCTCTTGCTCTACAGCAAATTTCAATGAAATATTTCTATTTGAGAATTTAACTGAAGACAAGAACATCAGACCAATGGCAGCATACTATTGCAGTGATGTATCAGATTCCCTACATCAATAGCATATACATAACCTCATTTTCATCATATCTGCTTAGCTAAAGTTCATACTTTTACAATATAGTCTTATCACCCTACTTCATGTAATTACACAATCAGGACATCAATGATCCACATGAAAACTCTTTTACTTCATTTGCATTCCACAACCTCAACGAAGCACCACACAGATCAAGCTNCGATCTGCTTAGAAGGGTAGTTATTGTGTGGCGTTAAAGTGAGGAGTTTCGTTTCCATCGCTCTAAAGCATGTTTTCAAAATATGATCAGCGGTCGTGGCTTAAAATCGAGGTTGCCCTTGGCAAAAATGCAACAGAATGCTATCGAGGATTAGTGGAAGCTTGTGGCGCAAATGCTTTACCGTATAGGACAGTAGCAAGATGTGTTCAAGCATCTCATCTTTTTTCGTCATTAAGCCTTTTGAAAACATGCTTTTGAGCGATGGAAACCAAACTCCTCACACTAACGCTACACAACAACTACCCCAGAGATGCCAACTTGCTCCGGACAGCAAATATGTATTTTAAAGTGATAGTTTATCAATTGTGATTCTTGGTTTAATAAATTTAATTTAGTACATTTTAATCCACCGCTATTTCTGAATAATTTGTAGGCTTATATAATTCACCACTTCTTAGTACTTATGTAATGCTATACCTTTTAAAAAGCAAGCAAAAATTGTCAAATATTTTCAAAATTTACTTTGTAGTTATTTACCGCTTTTTTAATTATTTTGGCGTGTCCGGAGCAGTTGGCATCTCTGCTACCCTCACTTCTAAGCAGATCGACTGTATTTTGCACTCTACACATCGACAACAGCACCACCTCACTGCTCCCATATCCTATCTGCGCATGCCCACTCTTCTGTGAGTTTCAAGGTTAAGTTGCCACTATTTAATTTACAACCCTCGTAAATAAAAAACAATGAAGGACTTTGTTAAGAAAAATGTGAGTAACAGTAAATTTTAGCGATGGCGAAGAAGAGAGACCAATACTTTAGATGAAAAATTTATCTGTACATAAAATGTGCTATGCGATCAAATTTCGGCTTAACGTAACCGAAAATATCAAATTATCTGTATAATCACTACTGACGATATTGTGAAAAACAAAAAATGATCCAACCCTTTCCGCTTGCAGTGTAACCGGTTTGACGACACTCATTCAACAAATATAGCAAACCACTCGAAATGTAAAATTAATTGCTTCTAAGCATTAAGCAACCACTATTCTTTAAACAGCAAAGAGCTAAAGTATGTCACTTCACTTCCAATGTACAGTCTATCAAAGGTCTCTCTTAATTATCTACTGACTAAAATTTTCAATCGAAATTTGTTGTTCCGGTAATGGTTAAACTTGTACCTCAATCAGACACATACTCCCAGTAGAGTTCCGAGAATTCTGATTACTCCGAATTTTTATTGACGATTGTTTTTCCTGTTAAGGTTACATAGCCATAAACTAGTTTGCTATGAAACGATTAAAACTCGCTTTACTATCAGGCATGGACCATGTGTGACGATCTGAGTACTCTGGCTGGTTGGAAGATTCGATTTCAAAATTCCATTCACACAGGCAATAGAGAAAACGTAAAAAAACCAATAAAAACGTTGTTAAACATATTAAATTTAATACAATAATTCAAACTACATATTTTTCTTTAAATAAGTTGAATGTTTTGTGTTTCGAAAGGGTGGAAATGATGTCGCAAAGAGTTGAAGATATCAATCACCGTGAAAAAGAATCCAGTGCTTGCATCAAAACTCTAGAATTTCGGCTTACGAAGCTTGAAGATTTAGCTGAACAAACTGCAGCGTCTTTAGCCGTCATCCATCGATACATCGTGACTTCCATGGCAGAACCCAACTTCTCCAAAACTCCATCGTATTCTCAAAGGTAAGAGCAATACGTATTTCTATTGAGCAGCTCTCGTATTTCTATTCTAAAATAATCATTTCATAACACACGCACACATTTAAGCCTATGTTAGATCCCGTACTTCACCGCTGTTTTCGTTCTTAGTCCTTTCACTTGTTACGTATCACCCCTATTATGTATATAGCTTCTTATTTTGTAAATAATTTACCGTTTTTGACTCACGCTTTACATTTGTTCTACGTCTGCACATAGTCTTGCTTTTAATATCTTTGTTTATAGCCTTCGTTTCTCTTCTCACGTTTTATTGATCGAACACTTTTTAATTTCCGTATCATATCATTCGACTTCTATTTCCGACGAATGGGAAAGTGCCGCCTACGGCAGCAGACGCCGTGATTGTGAATTAATCGTAACCCGTTGTTTTCGTAAAATCAATTCATTTGTTTTATTTTTCTTATTACTAAGAATAATTTTTTTAAAATAGAGAATGGCATTGCGGACAGACTTCAATTCATTTCTATCTAGCATTCTTTTACTTATCAAATGTTACACATACAACAGGGCACTTTATAAATCGAAAAAGAGAGAAAAGTAAAATTATTTTATTTCTAGACTATTTTAAAAAGCAAAATTAACTATGTTTATTGAATTAAAATTAACGTAACATTTATGTATACATTAATGTAATATTAATTCACTTTTTTTAACTATGAATTGTCTACTGTTTACTTTTTTCAAGATAATAAATTGTCCTGTATATACGTTATAACTATTGAGGCTGTTTTTCAAAGGCTCTGTCATCGCATGAAATGATGCTTTTTTGCGGATAATATGCTATTTTCATAATTGGTATGAGTTTGCAACTGGTTACTTATGACTGATAGATCAAGTTCGGTCTTTCATTGGCCAGCGCCCTCTATGATCATTCTAAAAATTTCGCCTAATGTCAATATGGAGAAAAGCCACAGTTTTATGAAAATAAAAAAAGCCTTTATTGCCTAACTTTTTAATATTTTAAAATTTACTCCAATACTGTATTATCTTAGTTCATAAAAAGTTTTAAAAATTGGAAAAAGACATTGATTTTGATAATGTTCTTCCAGGTGGAAAATTTCACAAAATTGTTTGTCCTTTTTGAAGCCTTGATAATTCTTCACGACAAGTTGGTATATCTAGTTTAAAATTACAGCTTTGCTCCAAGTGTAAGACACTTAACCCCTTGGGGACGGATGATTCATAAGAGCATTCGTACAAAATCAGAATCAGGATGTAAATAAATAAGAAACGGTAACTAAAATGAAGTCGTTGCTAATTTGACAGACTTACTTTGCTTTTACTTAAGTTATTGTTAGTTTAATCATATATACACTCTATAACAAAAAAATTGACGCACCAAGAAGCAATCATCCGATTCCTTCTTGGTGCCAGATTACAGTGGTGCGTGGCTCGATCAGGCTGGAATGATGCCGTCTGGGGACGCATAGTCTTTAGCTACGAATACCGCTTCCAACTGCGTCCTGACGATCATCTTAGACGTGTTTGGAGACCCACAGGGCAGAGGGGGGGATCCTGCCTTCACTATTGCACGTCACACCGGCCCTCAACAAGGCATTATGGTCAGGGGTGCCATTTCCTTTGACAGCCGGACCTCTTTGGTCGTCATTAAAGGTACACTTACTGCACAATGGTACGTCGGCGACATCCTAAGACCTGTTTTGCTACCGTTCCTTTTGCAGCGCCCTGGGCTGGTTTTTCAGCTAGAACAATGCCAGGCCACATACGGCACGTGTTGCTATGAACTGTCTGCAAGCTTGTCAAACTCTTCCTTGGCCTGCCAGGCCACCAGATCTCTCTCCCATCGAGCATGTCTGGGATATGATGGGAAGGCGATTGCATCTGGCACGGAATGTTTATGACCTCGTTCGACAATTGGATCGAATTTGGCAGGAAATACCGCAAGAGACCATCCACGAGCTTTATCGGTCTATGCCACGCCGTGTGGCAGCTTGTATCCAGGGTAGAGGCGGGTCAACACCTTATTGAACTTGTTATTGAAACTGCAATAAATTATTCAATTGAAAATCTGATTATTATCAG